AGTTATTAATTGAGAGCTTTCGATGCCAATACCAATGCATGAATTTGTATATTGTGTGGCAAGCACAATGATACTCTATGCCCAGGGAAGTCGAGAAAATTTCCAACCCGAAAGATTCCCTCGACCGGACTGGGAATCGAACCCGCCGCCTCCGGCTTGGTAATACCGTGCCTTTTCTGACTAGGCTATGAGGCCCTTGAAGAATAAACATTATGTTTTTAATAAAAATACTGAATTCATTGAAAAAAAAAATTTTACTAGCCAAATGACTGAAAAAAATCTCATTTTGTATTGAACACCCGTTACTTGCAGACTTTATCAGTGCCAAGTACTCAACACCACAACACCATTTTTTAAGTTAACAGAATTATTCTGATGTTTTCGGAATTATTCTAAAGTTCACAGCGTTTTCCTGAAGTTCCCATAACTTTCATGAGGTTCACAAGATCTTTCCTCAAGTTCACAAGAACTTTCCTGAAATTTTAAGAACTTTCCTAATATTTGCAGTTTTTTTTCTAAAGTTCAGAGAGTTTTTTCTGATGTTCTCAGAACTTTCCTGAAGTTCGCAGAAAATTCTTGAATTTTTCAGAATTTTCCAGAAGTTTACAGATTTTTTGTAGAGTTAGCACAATTTTTCTAACGTTCTCATAATGTGCCTGAGGTTTACAGACTTTTTCTGAAGTTTGTAGAAATTTGTTGGAGGTTCGCAGAATTTTCCTGAAGTTTACAGAGATTTCCTGATGTTCGATTAATTTTCCTGAAGCTCGAAATTTTTTCTTTGATTTTACAGGATATTCCTGAAGTTTGCAGAACATTTTTAAAGTTTACAGAACTATTCGGAAATTCTCAGAATTATTCTGGAGTTCACAGAGTTTTCCTAAAGTTCGCATAACTTTCCTAAAATTCACAAGATCATTCCTGAAGTTCGCAAGAACTTTCCTGAAGTTTGAAGAACTTGCCTGATAGCACCTGATTGATACTCACAGAATTTTCCTAAAGTTCGGAGAATTTTTCTGATGTTGGCATAAATTTCCTGAAGTTCGCTGAATATTTTTGAGTTTTGCAAAAAATTTCAAAAGTTTGCGAATGTTTCGTGAAGTTTGCAGAATTTTCCTGAGATTCACAGGCTTTTTCGGAAATTCGTAGAATTTTTCTGAAATTCACGGGATATTCCTGAAGTTCACAGAGTTTCCTCAAGTACGCAGAATGTTTTTCAAATTCACAACACTTTTCTGAATTCACGCAACAAAACTTGCACAGCTTGAAACGAAACACTTTTTCATACTAGCATTCGTACAAAAAATGTTTCGTTTCGAGCTTTGAAATGTGGCCTCTGTTCAAAGAAATTCAACAGTGAGTACACCTGAAATTTATAGCACTTCGTCACAGTTTAAATCCTATTCGTGTGCATTCTATTCTATTTTGATGAGTCATTGGGCCAGAAGCCGTTGTTCATCCTGAATGTCATTAGGCCGAATTTATCCTGTAATTTCACTTAAGAATAGGATCACCACACCAAAATTGATCCAGCAGTACTCGGCAGCAGGCATTGTGTGGTCCTTCTCATTGTTCTTCATCAGCAGTTCTTTCGTGTCGGCGTCGGTGGTGTAGTGGTAAACGTGACTGCTTTCTCACCCCAAAGGGTCTGAGTTCAATCTCAGCCGAGGTCGGTGGGATTTTTCTGAGGCATACAAAATCTCTGGTCACGTCTTAATTCGGAAGGGAAGTAAAGTCGTTGGTCCCGGCCCATGTGTGTTTGAATGGGTGCGATATCCTCCGCAGGTGTGGAAGCTGCCTTCCTGCACATTCGATTGCCGTCAATGGATTGCAATCGATGTCCGTCGGTGATTGGCACTATATTGCGGAACAGAGACCGACGTTAAAATAAAAGGAAAAAGCAGTTCTTTCGGTCGATGCGTCGTCGACTTTGGAAAGCAACCGTTTCGTGATGAGTGTGTGAGTGCTGACCACGTTTTGCGTCCATTGCTGCAATGGAAGCGCTGTGCCCCCGTAGGTGATACTTCCATACAATGAAACCACTGGAAGCGGCTCCCGGTCTGATCGAGAAGGCTTATTGGATAATGGAAAATATAGTGTTTATTGTGTTTTACCTTTTGACTATAGTTTTAAGATGTATTTTATAGTAAACAAATCTTCGGCTCTGTAAAGTTAAGTGGATTGAGCCTTATAAAATAAATTTATAAACAAATTTGCATCTGCAGCAAAGTTTATGGAAATGAAGAGATCTACAGTTCTATAATTCCAACTACAGTATGTTTGTTAATTCAGGGTGTTCCTATTTCAACATCATTTAACATAAAAAAAAGTATTTCATATGTTAACAAAAACAATGAGAAACCTTCTTTAAACTGTACTTACAACGGACTGTAACATACAAGCAATTTCATACAGAATGAATATTTTCGAATCAAATCATCAGAAATGATTCTTTGTCCCGTGCGGAGGAAACCAACTTATTTTAAAAATAGCGAGCGTAAATTTATCCTTTTACATTAAATTTGAGCATTTTATTATTTTTTTATTATTTTAATTTAACACTCTACACTCTTACACATAATAAAAAATCCTTCCAATTACCACAGTACAGACCATGGACCCAAAGGGTAAGGACCTCCTTCACGCGATTTTTTTTTTTTTTGGTTCACCTAGCTGTTTTTTTTAGTGTACCTGGTGCACCCGGTACTAAATACAGCAAAAGACAGCAATTTGTACCAGAACAGGTGTCAAAAGTGACACAGACAGCACAACTGCCAGCAAAGCGCCAGCAAAAAAAAAAAAGCGCGGTACCCGCTGCCGTGGCAGTCAGATTGAGGTGTGTCATATCCCTTAGCACGTTTCTTTTTGTTTCGCCATTTTGAGATTTGAACTCGTGACTTTGGCGTGAGAGGCATGGATGCTAACAAAAAAAAAAAGCGGAACTAGTTAAAATAGTTAATTATCTAATCTAATAGTTCATTAGCTGCAGGGCCCTTGAACATCATATATTTGGATTGTCCCCAGGAGGATTGTCCGCAGGAGGATTGTTCGAAGAACGATTGTACCCAGGAAGATTGTTCGAATAAGGATTGTCCGCAGGAAGATTGTTCAAAGGAGGATTGTCCACAGGAAGTTTGCTCGGGAGAAGGTTGTTCGAAGGATTGTTCGGAGGAGGATTGTCCGCAAGAAGATTGTTCGCGAGAAGATTGTACGAAGGAGAATTGTCCGCAGGAAGATTGTTCGGAGGAGGATTGTTCGAAGGAGGATTTTAAGCAGGATTGTCCGCAGGAATATTGTCCGCTACCGACGAGTCGAGGAGAAAGATTATCCGGAGGAAGAGGATTGTCCGCGGGAGGATTGTTCGAAAGAGGATTGTTCGAAGAAGGATTGTCCGCAGGAGAATTGTCCGCAGGAAGATTGTCGACAGGAAGATTGTTTGGAGGAGGATTGTCCGCAGGAGGATTGTCCGCAGGAGGATTGTCCGCAGGAGGATTGTCCGCAGGAAGATTGTTCAGAAGAAGATTGTCCACAGGACGATTGTCCGCAGGAAGATAGTTCGGAAGAGGATTGTCCGTAGGAGGATTGTCCACAGGAAGATTGTTCGAAAGAGGGTTGGCCGCAGAAGGATTGTTCGAAAGAGGATTGTCCGCATGAAGATTATTTGGAGGAAGAGAATTGTCCGCAGCAGTGATGGAAAAGTTCATCAAAGTTCCCTATGACTCGCGAACTTTTCCCTTGGTGAACTTCGTGAAATATCGCGAACTTTTCCAACACTGGTCCGCAGGAAGATTGATCAGAGGAAGATTGTCCACTGGACGATGATTGTCCGCTGGAAGATAGTTCCAGGAAAGATCTTCAGAGACAATCAATGACGTTCAAGGAAAACGTTGGGGAACGACACTCATCCTGATGCATGTTGCTTCAAAAAAGATATGGCAACACTGTGACGGCATGCGAGCGGAATTGAAAGAATTTTCAGAATAGACAGAAGGATCAACAGGGATATTCAGGATATACTGAAAAATAGACAAAAAATCGAATAAGGATGTCTGGAGAAAAAAAGTTCTGACTGATGTTCTGGATATATAAGCAGAATTTTATGGATAAATTTGATGGGGATACAGAATGCATCCGAATGTATCGTTCCCCCTGGAACATATAAAGAGTTTCAGAGTTCCTGATAATCTTCTTCCTCCACGTACTCCTTGACTCGTCGGTAGCAGACAATTCTCCTTCAAACAATCCTCATGCGGACAATCCTCCTTTGAACAATCTTCCCGCGGACAATCATCTGACTGGCAGGATCTGTTCCATTCGGTCCTCGCTACACAAGGATCGTACCTGGGTCCGCCTTGCATGATTTCTAGTTGGACCCCCAACAATTAAGTGATAAAACTGATTCCATTTTGATCAACATCAACAATGACATTAATCCTAGCTCTGAAGTTCAGGTTAGGAAAAAAGTTAGGTTAAAACAAAACGTCAGCTATTGTTGGTAAACAAACCGACAGCATTGTTGACAGCATTCCCCCATGCACTCAAAAATATAACTACCCACAAATCTAAAAAACCTACTACTGCGTGCACTTCCATTCTATTACCGAGAACCATGATTTTTCGATAAATTCCTTCCACGCTATTGGTCCTGACCTTTGGGTCCATGGTAATACCAACATATATATTGAAGGTAAAAAATCCACAAAAAAGCAACGCAGATGGCAAAGCAGGTGGGATGTCGCTTATGTCAGCCCAAGCGATTAAAATTGTGAATCCTTTACTCTTTATAGAAACAAATTGCTGTAAACCCTCCATATATGCGGTGGGTGGTACCATCCACCCACCACTATTTCTCGAATTTCCTTCAACCAATTATGATGATTTTGTGTATGTGAGTTATACATAAAATCAGCTCAATTGGTTGAAGGACAACCGAGAAATAGCGTCCATCGCATATATGGACAAAAAGTGCCTTGCATTTTTAAAGAATTATAACAATCACTTACTCTTAATCGTGCAGCATCACTGTTCCACTAAATGGTAAGCATCCGCTATTTCAAACTGCACAGCGCCGCCACAAGAGTTACACACAAGTCTCATTGAGTTCTACAGTTATTTTCACACTCCAGTTCGGTTATCGCTCCGCAGGAACGAGGAATTCAATCTATTTCCCCCCGCCTGCGAACAGCTCGAGATTCCACTTGACCAGAGTGCCAACAGCACCCTCGACTTAACAATGGAGGCGACACTGCTGCTGCTGCTGCTGCTTCTGCTCCTGGCAGCTGCAATTGTTTTCCACGCTAATTTATTGAATTTCACAATTTTCACAGTTTTCAATTATTTTCTCCTCGCTTGTCGGCTGTCGCAGCTCGTACAATATCTCCCGCGGGGTCCTTCCACTCTCTCACTTTGGTGGAACAAGTTTTTTTTTTGTTTTCTGTTCGCACCACCTAAAGTTACACGGCAGCAGTCAGTGTGCTTGTTTATATAGCGTTTACCGCGCCGCGGTCTCACGACGAAGTAGAACAAGTTTTCCACCACCACAACCACCATCGATTGCGAATAATAATGGATCCATATTTGTTCACGGACCACAGCGGTGGAAGGTACGGGAAAGGGAGTTCTTTCTCTCCCGTTTTTTCCTCTTCAAAAAAGAGCACACAACTTGTAAAAAACTAATCCATTCCTGGCCGCTTAATCGCGCCGAGATTTTCTTCTTATTTTCACCACTACACAGACATTGGGGGAGCTCTTTGAAACAAGCTCGTTCAATCCTCCGGATCCGGTTCGGTTGGATATTATCCTCTTGGCTTTGTTTCTGCTGCTACTGCGTCTGCTTCTGCTGCGGCTGAATCAAGCAGTTCTGGTTCTGCACACATCAAAATGGGTTAAACATGTTGCTGCATTCCCACACTATCAAACAATTTTACATGCTGTTTCAATCTTTCTTCTTCTAAGAACCGTACTTGAGTAGCAACTTGATGTTTCTTCTAGAATGAAAGCTTGTGCTGGCTGGGAGCTAATTTTTCCCCAACACCAGACGCACTTAAAACTCGGAAAATCGCTCGCATTTTCTCCAGTAAATCCCAAAAAGCTTTGCTTTTCTTCACACCGAATAACGATTTTCCACGGCTCGCATGATCCAAACATGAAAAAACGACGGTGGTTTTCCTTTCTCATACACGCACAATTTTCACGATTTTTCCCGCACCGTGCCGTTGTAGTTAGTTCACCTTCGGAACCCGCGTGCGGTAAACCACATTTGCCCCTCGTCGCAATGAAAAAAAAAAATCAAATAATGGGACAAACAGTTTTCCCAACGCGCACACACACACGACCACCGAAACTAATCCCCGTCCTCGTCCGCTCGAGGATATCCTCGGAATCCCTGATTATTGCACTCCAGATAGCAATTTTCCTTTCAGGCTATACACATTTTTTTTTTCACCGAGGCTTCCTTTCTGCAGCCTTTGAGAGGGCAAAAAACACACTCCTGTACCAGTAGGTACAGAATAATCTATTAACTCCACTAGCTTCTGCTGACTGCTGCTGTAGCTACTAGCTGCTTGCAGAGTGGTACGGAAATACGTGTCCAGCCCTTTAGAATACTCTCCGGCGACTGGTCGCTGGTGGAGAAAAAATGTCCCAACGAAGCTGACGTAATGGAGTCCTTCTTTCTGCCCCGAAGAACCCAACCGAACGAAGACCCCCGACGAAAGAACCCCGAGCCAAGAGAGTCGCATCCGGTGTAGGTAGGATAGAGAGCCAGCAACAGCAGCAGCCATCCGGTCGGCGTCGTCGACGTCGTCGTCGCGTCGATGACGTCGCATACACACAGGTGGGAAAAGGACCATACGGAAGGTCTGCAGAAAGCAGGTCGAAGTTTTTCTCTTGAATCTCAGCAACCCCCGAAGGGGGAGAGTGCACTCACTCTCTCTGTCCATCTCTCGATACCCGCACGACGAAGCGGTTGTTGCTGTTGCGGTTGTTGTGGGAGACTAGAAAGCTTTTTCACACGCGCGCGTGTCACTGAAGGTAAACAACAAGACGCTGTTGCGTGCAGTCTGCAGAGCTTTCGGTGAGTGGTGTGGGAATTAGCTGCTAATGCAAGAGAGTGAGTGCACAGTTGTGCAAAACCATGCGTCTCCATGGAGTTTGAAAATAAAGCTTGCTTTTGACAGCGTGCACGTGGTCTGCTAAACTGCCGCTCACCGCAAGTCGGTTTCATTTACACGCTCGTTGAATTTAACTCTAATGTGAGTTGAAACCTACTCACTTTCATTGAAAAAGGGCTTCTGAAATGGCTTGAATCATATTTAACTAACCGTCAACAAATTATTAAATTCAACGAAAAAGAAATCGACCCCAATTCAAGTCACATCAGGCTCTCATTTGGGATCTCTCCTTTTTATTCTGTATGTAAACGACATTTCAGTGCCAACATTTCAAAGGGGCGTAATTTCATTTGTAAACAATGGCTTAAGCCGTTGATTTATCGCGAATAAAAGCTCACTCATGAAAAATAATGACACCAGCAGGTAGAGGAATGTTTCCTCTACCAGCTAGCATTGTAATTTTGGAGAGGTAAGATTTCATTCGCGAGAAATTGACGGCTAAAGTCATTGTTTACAAAAGCAATTACGCCCCTTTGAAATATTGGCACTGATTTCCTTCATTCTCAAAAACAAAAATTGCTAATCTATGCCGACGACATGAAGCTCTTTTTGGAAATAAAAAATGATGAAGACATCAATCTATTCCAGAGTGAAATACACATATTCTACACATGGTGAATGCCTATTAGAACTGAACGGAAAAAAAATGCAACTTAATATCATTTAGCAGAAAAAAAAAACACCATCAAACATTGAATTACATAAGGAAATCAGAATGTATAAAAATGTGAAAGAGGGATTTAGGGATGATGTTAGACTCCAAACTAACTTTCATAGACCAAAACAATACAATTATTCACAGGGCAACATGCAAGCGCGTTTGCTATAACTTTCAGGACCCATGCACAATTAAAACACTATATTTTCTTTTTGTGAGGTTGTGAGGTGATGGTCTCCATTTTCAATCACGCACGAAAAAAGATTAGAATCAGTACAAAAGCAATTTCTATTATATGCCCTACGTAAATTAGGTTGGACATCATTTCCTCTTCCATCATATGAAGCACGCTGCATGTTTATGAACATACAAACATTAAAAGAGCAACGTGAATATGCAATGGTTTCGTTTGTAAACGATATCATTTCGCAGCGCATTAACTGAGCAGAACTTTTATCAAAATTAAATTTTTATGCATCTATTTGACAACTCAGAAATCAAAATTGTCGGACTTGACAACTCAGAAATTGCACAAATTATGCAAAATTTGGGCCAATAAATAGCATGACGGCGTCTTACAATCGAAACTAAAACAATATTTTAACTCCATACGGAATCATAACTCGTACGAAGGTAAAATAGAATAGCAGACATTTTTTTTACGTTACGTTGCGTTGCGTTGCGTGTGTAACGGAGTAATTCGTAGATTGCATACTGGCAACTGTCATGTATCAACTGTAACGTTCTTATTCTGATTGCTTAAGCTGATTGCCTATTTGGGAGTGAATAGTTCTCCAATCAAAGTTCAGAACAGGAAAAGCATGACGATTACCATTGCCGGCCACGCCCATCTTCTCCGTTACGAAGGATATTGTTGATGCAGCATCTACTTAACGGGAGGCCAGCATAGAAGCTACGGAGTTGGATAGTTTGGTAGGAGATGGGCCAGGATTCGCTTAAGCAGGCGATGCGACCATAGTAATTGTTTTGTTCTCGAGGAGCTTGGGAGTAATCCCACGATCTTCTACTCAGTAAGCAAAAGCGGCAGCCGTCAAGCTAACCGAGCTCCTAAATTTAAATTCCAATCCTGTTTGAAATAAAATTAAACAAACAAAAAGGAACCGTCTCATCCGAATGATCCAATTTACTCCAGCCATGTGTGATAAAAACACCCAGACATTTATTTTTTTATTTTTATGTTATTAAGAAATAATAAGTCTTTGAGAAAACACGATGAGTAAAATTTATGTGAGATTACTCAAAAGTGAGTAAGCATTCATTTAAGTCAAACAGAGTAGAAGTTACTCACTTTTCTCATTAAATGTTACTCAGTGTTTGACATTTAGCATGGAAATATTAATATAAGGAGAAGTTACTCTATTTTGAGTAAAATAATACGTGCAACACGCACGTATTAACTTTATTTTCAATTCAAGGTGTAGCAATATTTTTTCCATAGCAATTAAATGTATGATAGTTGTGTTGAGTGTAAAGTCCCCGTTCTGTTAATTTTCCCTTGAAAATTTGTCATTGTTTTCATTTTCATGAACCATAAGGTATAGAAATTTGATGTCTGCAGCAAAGTTGCTTCAAATTGATTGTTCTACAACTTTTTAAAACACAGCATTGGTCTATCTCAAATAATAAAAAAAGTTTGTGTTTTCAATTCACCAATTTTATGGACTACCTTAATTTCACTAACATAAAAAATTGGCCAAAAATACGAAGAAACTTTCCCCAAGGCACCATATACCTAAAAGTAATAGATTGAGCGCTAATATTGTTGTCTTCCTAAATACGGCTTTGGGACCATTGTTCACTAGTCCCCAGGGTAAATTTTCTGATCATAACTACAAATTCATTCTGATAAGACGCCAATGAGTGGTTTCGAAAAAAGAGGACCTCCAAACTCAGTTTCAAGAACTGATCAATTTTATGGATGTTCCAGATCTTCCTGGTGAACCATCCCGTGGTCCCAAGGGTCCATTTTCCGGTCATAACTCCCATTTTATTCTGATGAGACATCTATGAGTGATTTCGAAAAATCAGAACAGCTCTAGAATCAATTTCATTAAATTACCTCTTTTAGGGATGATTTGGACCCTCTGGAGGACCATTTTCTTGGACCGAAGGGTCAATTTTCCAATCACAACTCCAAATTCATATAAAAACGTGATTGATAAGATGTCAATGAATGGTTTTGAAAAAAAAAAAAACCGTGCAGCTCTAGGATCAGTTTTATAAATTGACCAATTTTACGAATGTTCTGGATCTTCCGGTGGATCATCCCGTAGTCATCAGGGTCTATATTCTGATCACAATTTTAAATTAGTTCTGATAAGACGTCTATGAGCAATTTAAAAAAAACGCAGAGCTCTAGGATCAGTTTAATAAATTGACCACTTTTAAGGATGCTCCGGATGTTTTGGTGATTTCTAGTGATCAAATTCCAATCATAACTTTACATTAATTTTGATAAGACTTATATGAGAGGTTTAGGATCAGTTTCATGAATTTACCACTTTTACAGATTTCGGATTTTGCGGTGAACCATCGCGTGGTCAACAGGGTCTATATTCCGGTCACAACTTCTATGAGTGGTTCCGAAAAATACGCGGAGCTTTAGGATCAGTATAATGAAGTGACCACTTTCACGGACGTTCCGAATCTTCTAGAGGACCATCCCGTAGTCCACAGCGCCCATATTCCGATCGCAACCTCAGATTCATTCTGGTAAGAAGTTTATAAGGGGTTTCGAAAAAAAACAAGGAGCTCTAGGATCAGTTTCATGGATTGATCACTTTTACGGATGTTTCGGATCTTCCGGTGAACCACCTCGTGGTCCTAAGGTTTCGTATTTCGGTCACGACTCCGAATTAATTGTAATAAGACGTCTATTAGCGGTTTCGAAAAAACACGGAGTTCTAGGATCAGTTCGCAATGTATCGCATTACTCATGTCATTTATAAAGCCTCAAGCTGTATTCAAATGTTATAACGATGTAAGGAAACCTTTGCTCAACCTCTATACAAGCAAATCTGGCGAACTTAGTCAGCTACTTATGGCTGTTGTGACGGTTGGAACTCAATGCTGTACAAGGAAGAATGCCTCAAAAACCACGTACTGCCTTTCATTAAAGCCCATAAAGGTCCCGTGAAGTTTTGGCCAGATTTGGCGAGTTGCCACTACAGCCGGGAAGTCATCCAGTGGTTCCGCGATAATAACGTAGATTTCATCGATAAAAACATAAATCCACCCAACTGCCCGCAGTTCCAGCCCATCGAGGGATTTTGGGCAATAATGAAGCGGAAATATAAGAAAAGTGGAAAAACGGCTCGGGACGCGATTCAGATGACCAAAATGTGGAACAAATGTGCCAAGGAAGTTGACTCCGGAGGTGTGCAGCGTTCGATGGGAGGAATAAAGAAGAAAGTGCGAATTTTCATTAGAAACGAAGAGAAATTATTTGTATTTATATGTTTTCCTAAATTTACAGGGAATTACCTTTGTTTTGATGTATTAACCTTATTTGTACGTCAATCCGTTACCGAGATACAGATGATTTTATTATTCCGGATTCTAAATGGACATAGCTTTAATCAAGCAAATGGAACCAAATTTTAGTATACATGAATCTATGGTTTTCGTTTTCAGAGCCGTTGGTCATGTTTATCAGAGATATCAAATTTAACCATTTGGAACTATAATCAAGAAATTCCGAACCGGTTCTATGGTGGCCATATTTGCTCTATCCTTGT